TCTCCTCACCTAAAGCTCTCAAGTTATCTAATCTCTCCTTACACTCTTCAATTTTCAGCATATCATTACCCACATTCCTCTTTTTCCAATGGATGATAGTAGTCCTAACATTCTTCAGCCTCTGCTGAATACTATACATGGCATGGCCAGACACAGGAGTATTCCAGGCTTTAGAGATAAGATCTTTGAAGCCTTCATGATTGAACCATCTAGCCTAAAAAACAAACATGTTTTTAATCACCTCACACCCTGGATTACTCTCAAGGAGAATAACAGAATGATCAGAAGCAGACATAGGGATAATTTTAACCAAGGCATTGGGGAACTGATCAAGCCAATTTTGAGAAAACAAAAATCTATCTAGTTTCTCTTCAATGGCTCGATCACCTTTTCTGTTATTAGTCCAAGTAAAGGGGTGGCCAATAGTTTTAGTTTCACTGACACCCAGGCAAGAGACTAGGTTCCTAAATTCCAGAAAGCGAGTTTCCTCCCTTCTGTGGCCTCCTGATTTCTCAGAGTGATCTAATATATCATTAAAATTACCACAGATAAACCAAGACTCCCCCCAATAAAGACTATGCCTCAAGATCACATCCCACTGGCTACTTTTAATCTCCCTATCAGTGCTAGCATAAACAAAAATTTCCCAAAACACATCAAAAGAACCAACAAGAGAGTATTTGACCTCCAATCCAAAACCAGAAACTATAATATCTAAAACAGAAATGCTATCAGACGAACATAAAAACATCCCCCCTTTAAACCCTACAGGGATGACATAGTGCCAATTTTCCATAATCTTAATCTTTTTACAGACAGACTCTACAAATTTTATCTTTTTTTTAGTCTCAGACAAGAACACAAAATCTGGGAGGTGGATTTTCAAACAATCATTGAGCTGGAAAATTGTAGAGGGTCCCCCCAACCCTCTACAATTCCACACTAGAGCCTCCATTGGACACCCTGGGACCAGTTATGGCTGGTTTCTTCCACCACAGTAGTAATTAGTTTATCTCCCATTTTCAGTTTTTTGGACACAAGACTAACACCTACCTCATTATCAGTTTCCTGAGTTAAGTCCTCAATAGTTCTTTTATCATTACTCTTAACCAAGTTTTTCTTAGGAGTTATAGTCTTGTCAATGTGCATTTGTTCAGTAGCAGCCTCCTTGCTAGAATTAGCTTCCTTGGCTGCACCTGTTTTCTTTCTGTGAACTGTTCTTCTACCAATAGTAGAAGCTTGCACATTGATTTCAACATGGTTAGTATCTGCATTCACCACTGCATCCTTTTGAGGTGTGTTGTCATTGTGCACCAAAGTCTCAACATCCTTCACTTCCCTAGTAACAGTCGCCTTATCAATTTTACTTGTTTCAGCGATAGTTTTCCCTTTTTCAGCAGTGCTAATAGGGGTTAAACTATTGGGATTCCCAATGCTGCCTTTATTTCCCACCACACTTTTAGCTAAAGGTTGTTCAGAGGATGGGTCAGTAGCTTCTGTGCAGGCATGGCTGCCAAAATTGAAGTCACTGTGATTTCTAAAGCCGCTAGAGGAAGAGCTGCTAATTCGAAGCCAATCCCTAAACTTCCCCAACTGAAGATTATCACTGTTGATATCATCTTTTTTCTTAGGACAATTTCTGTCAGAATGTCCTATCACCCCACAGTAAAAACAAAAGCTTTGAATGTTTTCATATAAAAAATCTACCCAAGTATTAGTCCCCCCCCGCATTTTAATGTAAGTACCTCTCAATATAGGTTCAGACAGGGGAAGTTGAACCAAAATTTTCAGATTATGGCCAGAATAGTTTCCTATTCCTGGTCTGGCACTTGGACATCTAAAGTTTTCCTTAACAGTCTACCTAGTTTAATCCCAGTATCATCAGACAACCAACGAAGAGGTAAGTTAAGGACATGACCCCAGATTTTGATTTTTTTCATCTTCCTCAGTGAAGTCATTGTTCTCATATTTTCAAAGCTTCATAAGAAGATATTGCCCATCAAAATTCCAGGTTTTTCCATCTAGGATCCTGTCTCTATCCTGTTCAGATTGAAACATAAATTGAAACTGGTTGTTTCCTAGATTCCTAGTAGAGAAAGGCTTCTCAGTAGCCCAAATACTTCCTAGAGTAGTTTTGAGACCACTAAAATTCACCTTTTTTTCCCCATAAATTTTACCTATTAGACTAAGATTGCAATCTTGAATGCCCATGGCAACAACATCTTCTGAAAGAATCAGCCCACTTTCTTTCTTACCAGATAGATTAAATTTTTGCAGCTTAGAAGTAATATCTTGATCCATACTAGCAAAACCAGAAGCAGAAAAACAAAACAAACCAAATACCCTAATAGCAAACAGAAGAACACGTAAAACAACCTAACACACTACAGCGCCCCCTACTCTACACAAGCAACCACAGATTCCAGCAAACAAACAGCCCAAACACTATAATCACATCAGGTACAAGTGTGTGTTACATGCCATCGATAATGAAAATGAACAGACGAAACCCAAACAAAGGACGACTCATAGGAAAATCCAGGTGAAAATCCAAACAATCAATCGAGGGACGGAGATGGAGAAGGGGTGGTACCAAATGTAAAACAAACAAGCGATCGAAGGAGAGAAATAAGGGTGGAAATTCGGAACTCAGGAAAACCAAATCCTAGAAAGGAACTCGACTCTAGAAAGAGAAAAACCCTAGACAGGGCCTCCAACTCCAACGTCTGTTCTCGTGTAATGGGTTGCCAGCCCACTTTTTCAACCTTTACTTTGTGACTTTGTGGTTTTTTTTTTTAGCACTTACTTTTTCTTTATTGCTTCACAATTCATTACTTTATTCTATTCTTAATTTTAAAATATGTCAAAATTTAAAGTTAATAGTTAATATATATCGGGTTTAGTTAAAGTCTTTTATTATTATTATTATTATTATTATTATTATTATTATTATTATTATTATTATTATTATTATTATTATTATTATTATTATTATTATTATTATTACCTAAGTAAGGATGTGCTTAGTAAGTTTTAATTTTAGAGCTAATAAATTTTTGTTAGTTATTATCATGTAAGAATTTCATTTATTTATTTTTTTGTGTAATTGTTGAACATTATACTAACTTCTAAGCAATATTTATCTGAAAAAATATTATCTGGTTATATCACTCTGCTTGGAAAAAAAAAGAAAAAAAAAAACAACTTTTCTGGTAGTAGTACAATGAGTAATGCTATAGGTACATAATGTTGTACATAGAGGTGTACATAACACTCACATTGAGTGAGACCATCAATATTAAAAAATCAAGTGGACCTCACTCTATGTGAGTGTTATGTACATCTATATGTACATTTATTACATACATGTAACATTTTTCTAGTACAATACAGTTCGTTTCTTTAGAAAAAAAAACCTGCTATTAGTTGGGAGTCAATAGAAAACCGAAAACAATTAATAAATTAGTAAAACGAGGTGGTTTTTTTTTAAAAAAAAAAAATGTTCAGTTCTAATAAAATAGTTTAGCTATTAATTTTAATAAATTCTTATAAATTTATTTCCTAGAATTTTAATTTTCACTTGCAATTTTTAGTGTTGTAATTGCATAATTTCAATATGTAATAAAAAATTATTTTTTATTGTTTATAAATATAAAAAAAAATAAGAGTTGAAAATAATAATTAAGTTTAACAAAATATTGGCATGCCTTATTGTTATCTTCAGTTGTCCATATGTAAGCTAATTCCCGACTATAAAACTATGAATAGCTTTGTGTAAGTCGAAAACACACATCTCCATTTTAGTGTAGAAGCGGTAATAGATCGAAACTCAAATTTATCTAATATTAATATGAATGATTCATAACTTTTACTCTGGAACGAGTCATCCAATCTTCAAATTAACATTAGTTAAATTCAAACCCAAGCACAAATAGCACTGACTCTTCAAATTATCATTAGTTAAATTCAAACCCAAGCACAAATAGGCAATAAACAACGTATTATCGCATTATCTTGAAGACGAAATCTAAGTTCAAAAAGGAAAAATTCAAATAATGTATCCGTATTATCATTCGATCATGAACTTA